TTTTCCCCATTTTTAGCACATTTTCACCCCCTTCCCAAGTTTTCCCAGCTTGCTTTTACAGACCTGTGAGTCTTTACAAAACAATAATCAGTAATATTTTTCTGTCTTCCCCTCTATACATATATGAACCTCTTGTTTAGAGAAATAAAAATTTTCAGTGTATGTTTGTGGAGAATATTACTTTTAAAAATCGCAGTGATTTATTGATTTTTTTTTTTTTAAAGTGAATCAGAATTCATCCCATAACACATATTCATTTTATTCATCTGTCCTCACCTGAGAGCCTAAAATTATGTTACCGTACTGAGACTAACTTATTTTACCTTGTCTAGTTCTTTAAAGTTTGCTTTTAGTCTTTCACTTCAGAAATCCAAAATATTTTCAGAAGGGGTTTTTCTTTTCCCATTACGTAGTTTTCATTTTGAGTCCTCAGATCTTCACGGTTTAATTGTACTTAGTCTGGTACTAGGTACCTGTTAGCCAGAATATGCTTTTCCCAGATACACTTCAAAGATTCTTTTCCATATTCGGTGGTTACATTCTCATTCTTCTTTGACTGCACAGGTACAAACAGAAACCACAGAGCTGATCTTTGAACTACGAAATTTAACTTTTCTGTTTATGATGGTCTGTCTTGGTGATACTACCATTCTAATATTCTTTTTTGTTGATTAGTGTCCTGGTTGGCATTTAACTGAATGTTTTTCCTCAGCATGTTATTGTAATCTCCTTTCTAATCAAAAGCTATGTGTTTTTTTTTCTGTTTATAATGTTACTAATCAAATTCAGTGCACATTCCTGTTGTAGTTCCGAATACAGCAATGCTTAAAAGATTGATCATATTCAGATGCCTACTTTCTCCATAGCAACTTCATCTTCTGATGTGCAGTAGTGAGGAATGACTTCAGTTCTTTACAAATTCTACTGAAACTCAGTGTTTCCTGTACTCCTTCCTATTACACCTGTTGCAATGCAGACAGCCCCTATCCTGGTGACAAACTCTGTAGAACCACAAGAACTCATCTGTTCTTCATGGCTTTACATTTCTTTTGCCAGATACTATTTCTTACATCATCTTTGATTCGACTGGAGTTTCCCTATGCATCTTTTACTCTGAGGCAAAGGAGGACAGTGTAGCTTTCTCTTGCAGAACAACTAACATTCTCTGATTACAAGCACAACTAAAAGTAGTGTGATACATGTTGTCTTGGTAGCTTATCTGATTCCACATCCAAGTGGCTAATTCTTTTTAATTTTCTAAAGGTTGTTTTTCAGGTGTGTTAGTTCAAGATGTAGCACAACCTCATTAGGCAAACCTTTACTAACAGAACCTCTTTCTCTTCCTAATTCTCAGGGAAGCTTTTTTTGTTTGTGTGTCATTCTCTTCTCCAGCTTTTTGAGGAAATTTCCAGGTATTAATATGTATTGTGAAGCTTTTTTTCTTTACTCTTTCTTTGCTTTTTATCTTTGAAAACACTGTCTGAAGTCAACAAATATAGCAACTGATAATTTCTTTTCCTAATTGCTATTTCTGGCACTATGATTTATTGCTGACGTTTTTGGGCTTTTTTTCCCAAATGTAAAATATCTATTGAGGTAACGGAAACTTTCATAAAATGCAAGGAAGAAATTAAATGTCTGTAAACTTAATTCACAAAGTTAAAATGCCGCTCTAAGCTAGTACAGGAATATGTAATAAGGTGCAGTCTTGCATTTCATCCCTTTCTGGGGAAGCCAGTAAGGCTTCGGTTTGTATTTGCAGAAAATGGAGGGACTCCCTGTTTAATATACCTAATAAGCAGAGTTCCTATGTAGTTCTTAATAGTAACTGTGAGATGTTTTTTAAACTGTAAATAATAAAGAAAGATAAGAGCCATTACAAGAACTCAGTTGTAGGAACTTCACTGCACTAAGAGTTACTGCAGATCTGTTTTAATGCAACAGTAAGATTTCGGCATGTATGAAGGCGAACACATGCAGGTAACTGAAACTAGTGGTGTTGTCTCTGTAGGTTGTTGAGAAGAGAAGCTCTTGCTCATTTGATAGTGTTGAGGAGGTATTACTTGAATGGTTCTGTAGTTTATAGGGAGAGGATAAATACCCTGATGATATCTGAAATAGATAAACCAAAGTGTTACGATAGTGTTTTCATAAGCTTTTCTGCAGCAAGAGTTTTAGTGTTCTTTTCATCTTTCTCTCTTCTAGAAGGCTTTTTAAAATCTGAGCTGGCTGTTCTGGCAGACCATTTCATAATGAAAAAGGGGATATTCTCTGTTCATTTTGGCATGTAATTTCCTAACAGTACGTCTTCGTCAGTGCATTAAAAATGTTTTACAGCCAATATTTCTAATCTGCCACTAAGCAATGAAAGGGAGTATTTCTCAGAATTTATTTCATTTTAATAAGAATTTATACAAAAATCTGTGCATTGCACTGAATAAACTATGTTAATTCATTTTAGAAAGTCCTAATAGTAAGCATGAGCTACACATACAACAAATTACTTATTCTCCCTGCAGGATTTGTAAGTCCTACAATAAACTAGGCTTCCCAGCTCTCATTTTGGATTACTTCTGAATTCCCCTGGGAGCCACTTTTGTGGCAGATTCCATTTGGTTTCACAAGGCCTAAAGGGGGAAAACTTGGCATAGACCACAAATCTCTCACATTAGGAACAATTTGTAAACCACGAACAGAGGCAGCCAGAGTCCGTCCCCAGAACAGCCTGCTCCTGTTAGTGCCATTGTCTGAAAAGGATTGGTTTGCCATTTCCCAAATGACCTGCCTATGTGTAGAGAGATGTGAAAAGTTAGAGACAAAAATGTTTTCTACAGAGTGAGGGGGGAGCTTTCTTGTACAGAAAGGAAGGAAATACCTCTGTGGGATTTTATTTTTTCCCTTCTTCATCCAAAAAATACAAAGAGGCCCTCTGTCTTTAATGCGAATGTCAGCTTTAAATCTTTTAGGTTTGGATTAACTCTGTAAAGGAAAAAAAAAATCTGACAGGCTTTCAAATATGACGCAGAAAAACTTTTTTCTTTTTTTTTTTTTTTCTCTCAATTCATGTTGTTCATTTGTAAAGCCAAAGGCTGGATGGACTGAATAGTAGGCGCCAGTTGTTCCTCCATTCATAGTTAGCATTACAATAGTCAGAATTAACATCCTAAGACCTACATTATCACTTTTGCTGTTTCACCAGCAAACATTTAATACAGGGTGGCTAAGGCAAGGACAGCTCTTTTCTATGTCCTTACAAATTAAAAAAAATGTTGTTAATAATAGGAAGCTAAAGTCATAATTACTTCAAGTTGTATTTTGTGCTTGTTTATAGGAAACTTGGTCTCTCTGATTGCCACGTAATTATAAAATGTCTTGCAAAATGTAGTTGCAGTAGACATTTCCTATTAGTTGCAGTTTAAAGAAATTACTATTTCATCAAATATGTCAAGTCATGTTTTGCTTATAAAGTGACTGTGCTAATGCATTTTCTCCACTTACTGATACAAAATTTTCTTTTTTTTTTTAACTCTGTTGAAAATATGAATTGTTTTATTTTGAACCTGGCACTGCTCAGTGTTTACACCTTTGCTGACAGCTGTTGGCAGAAATAATTACCAGAATTTCAGGGAATAGCTATGTCCTTTTAACGTAGTTATGGAAAGTTTCTTGAATTTTCAGTTGAAATACATTCTTATGCTTTCCAAAGAATCCGTGCCAGTAAGAATTTGGATACAAAAATAAGGTAAACAGAACATTTTATGTGATTCATAAGAGAATGAGATTTTTTTTTTTCTGAAAATAGTTCACTTTTGGTTTTATGCATTGACATAGCACATATAATTCTAAAATGTTCATGTATGCACATTCAGAAATTAGACTCAGGTGCTGAAGCTACCTGCAGTTTTCTTCTAATTAATATTAGGAAAATGTCAACTTATTTATTTTAGTTGCATACTGAGGTTTAACCTTTGAAAGGAATTAGTCTCCAAGTAATGAAGCAAAGGATTTGAAAGAGTATTGTTGTGTAGCAATCTTATATTCAGCTTCTGTGCAATCTAATTACATTATAGGGATATTTTTGATACTGACTGCAAAACAATCTTCAGTAATATACTTCATTATGTATTTATCATACTCCTTGCATCCATAATATTGTTGTTGTAGATACTTGGACATGAATTACAAGGGTAGAATAAAGGTGGTTTTGGTTGTTTTTTGTTCCTATGATGTCAGTACATTATGTTTGTTTTGGGTTTTTACTGTGTTTTAGTTTTTAGTATGCTTACAGACCAAGTCATGAACAGCAGAAATATACATCCTATATATAGTTATATATTGTAAAGTGGTGTATAAAAAAGCCAACACACAGCTAAAAGCAGTGATCTGGTTTGTAAATATTTCACCATGCATTAATGTGTTAAACCTTCATTAAGCAATATGTTGCATACTTCCATAATTTGTAGTTTTCTTGGTTCTTATTTTTAAGCAGTTTCTTGGAGACCAGTGTGGGAACTGCAGTACAATGAGTGATCAGAGTTATATTGCAAAATTATTGTTAACAGTGTTTGATACCCATATCAAGGGTTCTGAGAAATCTGTTAGGGTTGATTGCAAATAAGAAATTGTGCTCATAATGTATTGACGGAGATTGGGGAAGGAGGGAATTTCAATAAATCTAGTTTTAATGGAAACATCTACAGTCAGCACAGTGGTGTAGAGCAGGGTTGTGGAGGGATAGATTCCCCCCCCCCCCCAAAGAGCTAAGTGGTGTGGTCTTTCTACCAGCTTCTTAACATGAATTAGTACTTACTATCTACTGGATTTCTGTAGTGACTCGGGATTTTAGAAAGGAGTTCAAGTTTTATTTCACATTAGAGAGTCTAGAATGTTTCCTTTAAATTTGTTTTTTTGATACTCTCAACCAAGTAATTTAGATTTCTAGGGTTTTTTTCCCAGTTCTTGTAATGACATTGTTACATTTTGTGCTTTATTCCCTTCAGGCAGCTATGATGTTCAGCTCTGGAGTGTTTTGGATGGGACTTCTGTGTATTCCTCTGACAGCTTTACTTCTTGATGTAGTGTACAAAGTGTGAGTACAGAAATACTGAGGTTTACGGGATAAAGTACTGACTTTTAAATATTTGTTCTAATTACTAGCATAAGAAAAACAAATTAAGATCAGCTCTGGTTATCATAAAAAAATATTTTTCACCTTGTTTATTTTTGACAAACTTTTTTACAAGCATTAGTGGTATTTTAAATGTTTCAATAATTTAATGTCTTTTATTAAATATTTGTTGCTTCTAATTTGCCAGAACAGCTGGTAAAATACGTTACTTAGACCTGCTTTGTATTTCTTCTTGTAAAGTTTAATTTTGAGTCATCTGGGAAAAATGAATTTGTAAATTGAATGTTTATGTAAGTATGAAAACAATCTGTTCTTTTACTTTCAAGAAGAGTAAATCTGGCAGTATTTTGTATTACTTACAGAGTAAAGAGAGCTACTTTTAAGACACTGGTAGATGAAGTTCAGGAGCTGGAAGCGAAGTCTGAGGATCCTGGAGCAGTTGTGCATGGCAAGAGGTACTGTAAAAATCTGTGGATCATTCTCTTCTTTAAGAAAAAAAAAAAATCTAAATATTTTCTGCCTTATGCATATATCAGAGACAAAAGGCAAAAGGTTATTTTTCAAAAGCCATACAAACAAAAAGCATTTGTAAGAGGTTTCAGGTCTACTGAGACCGTATGTTTTTTCATATGCTTAGATATAAGTTTTTACCAAAGGCTTTAAGTGATGTGTTTCATTGTAGCTGACTGATACATTTCTAGGTAACTTGAGACAGATTTTAATTGAGTCACTTTAGACTGTGTTAACAAAGTCACAGTGAGTTTAAACCTACATCATTCACTAGTATAGTTATAAATTTGGCCTAAGCACAATTAAAAAAAAATACATATACACACACATTTAAGACCTGGTTGGTAAATAAGGGCAAAGAGCAAAATCTGTCTAGGATTTGCTGAAATTTAATATAACAAGCTGGCTTTTAATCTAATGCCAGTCCAGAGCAAACAAATTTGACTAATCTATATGAGGTAAGAAATAATTGTAACTGAAGATTCCACAAGAATTCCCTTATTACATCCTCTTCCATGGGTTAGGCAAGTAATCTGAAAAGGGAGAAGGTAAATTTGAGCAATTGGACATTCTTATATGTGTAAACTCAGCCTGAAGGTGTGCACTCACTAAAATACTTCAGATTTTTTGACCCCAACTGAATCTATAGCAAGCACTTGCTGGATGGGATTATGAGATGTCAAAGTCTCCCTTTTCCCCCCACTTCCAATTCATTCATGCCATTTGGCTGAGATAGGGCTTTCTTTCCTTCATTTTCCTGAGTTTTGTGAAGTCTAAAAAAAGCCAAAACTTGATACTTGATTTTCACATTCTTTCTTTCCTTTGGATTGCTGTTCTTTTAGTATCTTCATGGCAAACGACTTAGCCAAGAAGGCTTTTTTCCTTCCAAGCTACGCATGAAAAGAGCCCAGGAGAAAACAAAAAAAAAAAAAACAAAAAAACCCCAGACACTTCTTTTATTTTAGGCTCAATTTTCAGGAAGTACCTTCTGTTCATAAAGATACTTAAGTTTCCTTTCTCCTTCAGTCTTACTGAATCCCTGGATCCCTCCTTCATCAGCTTACTAGGATTTGCCAGGCTGAAACCAAATTATATTGGATACCACCATTTCTAATGGGTGGAATATTCAGCTTGTGTTTGCTCCTACTTTTCCTTTCTTTTCCTAGCAGTTATTGTCACAAAAACATTTTGTCTGTGGTGGCATTCTAGTACCATCCCTGGTACCACAGACAAATATGAGAGGCGGTACCATGAGGCCTGATAGCTCATCCCACCACCTATGGAACACTTAGTCTAGTGTGGTGGTATACATATATCCTGGGTTCAGCAGTAGCAGTCATTTTTCTCCTTCTTAGTAGCTGGTGCAGTGCCATCATTTTGATTTTCAGCCTGGAAACAGTGCTGATAACACCGACATTTTTAGATGTTGCTCAGTAATTCTTACTCTGACCAAGGACTTTCTGAGTCTCAGGCTCTGCCAGAGAGTAGGGGAAGCCAGGAGGAAGCAGAGACAGGACAGCTGACACAAACTAGCCAGAGGAGTATTCCATACCACAGCACATCATGCCCACTATATAAACTGGGGGCAGTTACCTGGAAGGCCTAGATCACTGCTCAGGTCGGGCTGGGTATTGGTCGGCGGGTGATGAGAGGTTGTATTCTCTTCCCTTGTTATTTCCCTTATCATTATTACTATTGGTGGTAGCAGCAGTGGTTTGTGTTATGCCTTAGTTACTGGGCTGTTCTTATCTCAACCCATGGGAATTACGTTCTTTTGATTCTCCTCCCCATCCCTCCAGGAGCGGGGGGAGGAAGGGGGCAAGTGAGCGAGCAGCTGCATGGTTCTGGGTTGCGGGCTGGGCTTAAACCACAACAACATAGGAGCACTTAACTGCATAGTGTCTCCTATGAGGCTCTGTATGCTATCTTTGTAGCAGCAGCTTCAGACTGCAAGTACTGCAAAATCCCCTAGTTGATGACAGTTCCTGCACTGAGCATCCTTTTCCTTCACTGCTGCAAGATCCAACTAGTGCTTGCAAGAATAAGTACTCTTACCTTTAAAGGTGATCTAAATTGATGGTTATGGATGCCTCTCTCCAGTGGCAGTGCTTATTCAGGCAGCTTCAGGGCAAGATCTTCCTCTAAATTAACAAAGCTACATGTCAATGTGCTGAGCTTTGAGCCAGGAGCAATATGTGCTGTTTGCTCTTTTGCAAAGAGCAAAGTAATAAAAGAATGAATTCCAGAAAAGAAAGCAGGTATTAGTACTAGACAGTGCTAAAAGGGAAACATCTTGTGGATGCAGAAGAAAGTAAGGAAACCTAGGGTTTTAGTGTTCCATACTTGCATTCCTGAGACTGCTGTATTCCCAAATTTAGCTACTTTTACTTCAGTTGTCTAGGCAGTATGCTCTTCCTTCATCCTGCAGAATGTCTTCCAAATCCCTTCTTATTTAGGCAAGATGAACTTGGGGGTTTCACCGCTAATTTTATAATTATCTTTTTATCCCGCAATTAAGTAGTTAAGAGAGCTTCACGAAGGTTGTTTAGATACCTGACAGAATGTCTTTTCTTAGGTCCATTCCTTCTCCATGGAGTTATTAGACCTGTATTCTTTGAAGTATACAAGCATCCACCTAGCATGAAAATCAATGGATGTTAGACATCTTAATATCTCTTAAGCATTTATTCCCTCTATTATTTTTTAAAAATTACATCTTGAATTCAGGTAATGGAGCCAATACTTCACCCTTTATGGAGAAAGTATTCTTACTAAAGAACTGCTATGATGAACTGACTTGCATCTTCAGAAATATGATTGAACTATTAGGAATATTTTTGAGTCTCATAAGTTGCAGAAAGGGATTTTGAAGGGGATTTAAAATTGTTACCATTGAAGGCTCAGGAAAAGCATTCCTATTGTATCTTGCTGTTTCAGCGTATGTAAGGATGTGCAATCAGATTTTTCCGCAGAACTCTCCAAAAATATCAAGGCCATGTTGGACGGGGCTTTGAGCAACCTGGTCTAGTGGAAGGTGTTCCTTCCGGTGGTAGGGGGTTGGAACTAGGTGATCTTTAAGGTCCCTTCCAACCCAAACCATTCTGTGATTCTATGAAAATACTTTATTCTGTTATTCTATAGGCAACACATTGAAATTGGTTTTATCACATATATTTGTCAGTTAACTAGAAATACATCTTGATCAAGAAGGTGAAAATTTTGCATGGTCGCTTTTCCAACAGAAAAATTAACTTTCATGTTGGAACACTATTGACTTCAGGGTGCTTTGATAGCATAGAGTCATAGAACGGTTAGGGTTGGAAAGGGCCTTAAGACCATCTAGTTCCAGCCCCCCTGCCATGGGCAGGGACACCTCACACTAAACCATCTCACCCAAGGCTTCATTCAACCTGGTCTTGAACAGTGCCAGGGACGGAGCATTCACAACCTCCCTTGGCAACCCATTCCAGTGCCTCACCACCCTAACAGGAAAGGATTTCCTCCTTATATCTAAACTGAACTTCCCCTATTTAAGTTTGAACCCATTAGTCTTACCTATCACTACAGTCCCTGATGAAGGGACACAGTACTCCAAGTGGGGTCTCACAAGAGCAGAGTAGAAGGGCAGAGTCACTTCCTTCAACCTGCTGGTCACACTTCTTTTGATGCAGCAATTAGAATAGCTTCAGTGGATTAAAAAATTTATTCCACAAAAAGTATTAATTCTGCCATTACAGTGTTTGTGGTTGGTATGCCAAAAGGCCATTTCTACTTGAAATTACTAAGGTGAAAGGATACTTTTTGTATATAAATCATTGTTCAAAAACAGTTTTTCTGATATCATGTGTATAATGCTTAAATTGAGATAACACTATTAATAGTACAAAAATATTTTTACTGAATTGAATACTGCATAGACTAACAGTAACATAAATAACAGCCCAGACTTGTGGAAACATCTTTATATATATATATACTGCAAATGCTGCTTCATATAATTACTGTTTTTCATTCAGTGCCCTTGGAATTTATTTTTAGACCATCTAAGTGGTTGGTCAAGAATATATCAAGTAGTAAAAATGTTTTCTATAAATGCCATTAAATACCCGTAATTGTATACATTTCATCTTCAAAAATATTTAATATTCTGCTTGTCCATAAGGTACACATAGTAAGCATAGGCATTTAGTAAGGCATAAGCATAGGTATTATGATTTATCATTGGTTAATTATGAAACCATGTTTTCTTGGCTTTGCATTTGTTTTTTTAAATATGCTTTTGAATGGCAACAGGGTGATTCATAATAAAGAGTCTGCACTATTTCAAGTATAGAAGTAGAGCAGAATTTGATACCTGAATAGCTGGAAGCATTTTTCTTTCCCCAAATGTATTTCCTTCTTTATTTGTATTTTCTGTACCAGCAATCAGACCTACACAGTGGGAACTTCGTTTCATTAAACATAAACTAAGAAACGTGCATACTTCATATTCTCGTAAAACTTAAGGCACTTAAAACAATCTGAACATTTCATTCTGGCATCAAGCAAAGAATAATGATGGTACCAAAAATTCTAGAATATGCCTGCTATATTTTTAGTAAAATGGGGCTTTGGTAGAAAGCACCTGTCAAAAACAAAAATTTCATAGAAATTAGCCGATGTCAACTCACATTAAGAAGGATTTCTCACGTGTGTTGCAAAGCAGATACAGCTGATAACTGTATCTAGGTATTCACATGGTCTTCCACCTCTTTCCCATCTTACATGAAGATATTTATTCACTCTCTGTATCCATGTGGTTTAAACCTCAGTCCATAATTTTTTATTAATCTTGTCACTTTAATAGTTTGTAGTTCTGAACTAAAAGACAAGGCTTCTGTGCAGCCTAGAGGAGCAATTGGTGGGCAGGGAGAGTGGGCAAGAGTAATCCCAAAGAGCTAGCTTATAAAAACACTGAGACAAAGATCTGTCTCCATACTCCAACCTCTCCAGTCAGCAGATGCCAACAGCTTTCCTGGAATTGATATCTAATTTTTTTTTTGATTGGTTGGTTGGTTGTTTTTTTTGTTGTGTTTCCTGGGTTTTGTTTGTGTTTTTTTTTTTTTTTTGTGTGTGGGGGGTGTTGTTGTGGTTTTGGTTTTTTTTTTGTTTTTTTTTTTAGCAAGGAAGCCTCATTCCATCTTTCAGTTCAAACCATGGCCACAGGAGCACTTTCCCTGCCTATCCCATTACCCTGTAGATTTTGGAGTTAGCATTCCTCTATGGGTGTAGGTTTATTTCTCTCTTCCAGCTTTGAAGAGCCAAGCTTTCACCTTCTGGTATATGTTTTCACCACCAGATGAGGGGAACAGAAAGGGGAGGTAGTGACTTGTTAGTCTCTGCAGTTTAACACAGTCGTTCAACTTCGTACATATGAAATATATACTTACTGAAGAAAGAATGAGCCTTTCTAATGTAATGGTTTGAATGCTAATCTAGTAAGGGAACCAATCTAGCTATTCTTTGCACCACTTTGTCTGGTCAGTAGCCTGGGAAGGAAGGTCTGCAGATCTAATTAACAGTAATATTAAAAAGTAATTTGACTGATCAAAGCTTAGTAGGTATGTGAAGTCCGTTTTACCTACTACGCCCTTACACAAGCAACAACTTCAGTAATCTAGCAAAACTAGCAAAGTCAAATCACTATATACTCAGAATAAACATAAAATACTTTTTTTTTTTTTCCCAAGTGAAGTAATTTTTAGACCAGTTCGCATGGGAAGCGGCTGGATTTTTCAGCTTTGAAAACGTTTAAGTGAGAGGTTAGTATTTCTCTGAAAAACAAGCTCTAATTCACAGTGAATATCAAATCTAAAAGAAGAAATTATTGGGTTCGTGTGAGTCTTTTTTAATATAGTCCCTTGTACATCTTTAATATGTTATCAGAATTGTCAGATTTTGAAAGCTTTCTGAGCTGTGGCTAGTCTGTTATTTATTTAGTAATGTAAATCCTATTTGACAGAACTTTACATGTAAGAAAGGTGGATGAAAAGGAAACCTGGTAACTTCACCACTCCATTCACTACAGTTTGCAGCATTCAGCTGATGCTTGAGTCTTGGTTTAAAAACTGTTTAATACTCTTTAATACTCTGTTTTCTACTTGGATCACATTAGAGCACAGTAAATATGTACTACAACAGACTCAGTATTGCTGAGAAGGAGGGAGATAGGCTGAAGTGACCAACCTCTAGTTGGTAGTATGAAATCCAGAAAAACACCTTCAGAGGTTTCATGGGGAATACACCTTGATAAAACACTTTTCATGGAAGTCATATGTTTCTGTATACACAGCTGATGGCCACAGATGTCACTTTACTTTCATCTCTTTTGCCCTCCCTTTAGGGTACTATAAAAGCACTTTCTTCTGTAAGAAAAAGACTTGTAATACAGCCTGGCACTAATCAGACCATGCTATGTCAAGGAGGCCAGTGCCTTCCGTTTATACTGCATGTTTCTAAAGGAGTCACTCTCAGATGTTTACAATATTATTCATTAATTTGCATTGTCAGTGCACAAGTGCTTCAAACACATGTTTTGCCTCTGCTGTGAAGAGTGAAAACCTTACCAGGGATCTGGACTTCAGAATCTGCCTTCACACACACTTGTAATCACATTCTTAATAATTAGTTCAGGCACAATTAAAAAAGAAAAAGGATAATGGACACTTTTAATAATTGATGGCTTGGCTTCGCAGACTCCACAACAGAGGGATACTGTAATTAATAAGTATTTTTCATACCTTCACTTTCTTTCTAGCTTAAGTGAAAGAGCCCAGCTACTGAAGAATGTTTTTAAGAAGAACCATGTGAACTTGTATCGCTCTGACTCTCTGCAGCAAAACTTGCTTCGTAAGTTAATTAATAAATAAAAGTTTAAATAAAGCTTTAATAAGTAAATTAAAAATCAAATAGAAGTTAATATCCTCATTAATACTATAGAAGTGAAACTTTAACTATCACAATTTTTTTTATAGTAAAGATGCAGTATCCTAAACCCAGTAGACCATGTTCTTTGCCTGTTTGTAGATTTCTCATTATTCCTAAAATACTGTATGCACAGAGTTCTTTCTGCTGTTCTGTAAGTGAAAAAATATGTAAGAAATGTCATGGGTTTTCCAGCTACTAAGTGCTGAAAAGAGGTTTATTCTCCTCTTTTTTTGACCTTTATTAAGAGCTTTTTATTAAAGCTTCAATAAAAACTCAGATCAACACTTAATTGGTTCCTATTTTGTTTTATATCTGCAGATGGCTATGCCTTCTCTCAAGATGAAAATGGAATAGTTTCCCAGTCTGAAGTAATACGAGCTTACGATACAACAAAACAAAGGCCTGAGGAATGGTGAAGAAACACAGCTCAAGATTTGGGTCTTAGTAGTTACTTTGTGAGACAGACTACTAGATCTTTGCTGGGAGCTGCAACTATGGCCCAGTTGTCTGAGGTCTAAAGATCTATGATGGTCTTGTTCCATAAAGATTGGATTTGTGTACTCAGTAGACATAAGCACTGTGCAACTATACTGTAACACACCATCTCTAAATTTTTTAACAAGTATTTGCTTAGCCTTTGTAAACAGATTGGAATTTATCTTGTATCTTGCCAGCTTGCTTATTTTACAATGAAGTTGAATCAGTATTGGTCATAGAAGGCAATGGTCAGAATGCTAAACATACTTTACATTGATAGACCATTAGCATCTGTGAAGGTTTTTAAGTGTTAATATATTTAAATACAGTTGATAAAAAGCCTTTGATTTCAACAAGTGCTGAAAAAAAGTATATCAATGGTGTTAATTCACCTTCTTTAAGAAAGATTTTGGGTCAAGATGTTTATAGATGTTTGTGTCAAACTAACCTAAAAACGTTTGCCAAAGAAGTTCCATAAATTTTCTGTTGTTAGAAATAATTTGAAAGGAAATTAACTCCAGTCCTGATCTCAGAACTGCATGCTTGAGTCTCTGCACTTGAGGAGAAAGATTTATACTACAGTGAGTCAAATTTGAGTGGCCTTTATGGCATTTACTTTCAAAACTGCAAGTCTTTGCACCTTTGGCCTTATAGAAGCTTTCCCCTTACTTTCATTTAATATTGCATATGTTGAAAATGGCTGCCACCTTGTAAAAGTGAGTACACATATTATTTTGTCCAATTTTTAAGAATTGCTCTGCCTTACTTCCCTTTAGCAAACTTTATTTTTGCAATGCTTAATTGTATCTGCTTATACTGTAGGTTCAAAAGAAAGTTTAGCTTATTTTAAAAAAAATAATTAAATTTTCAACATTTTTATACTAAGATTATTTGAAATGCATACATTGAAACAGAGAGCAAAGCATGCCCTTTGCTAGCCTGTGGTAAGTACTGTTTTATTTGCACTAAAGCCACTTCCTATAAAGGTGTGAAATGCATTGCAGCAGACTCTTTACAACTTACTGGTCATGCAGAATACCTGTATGCTCTCATCTTTAATTAAAAATGGAGAGGAAATGGCTATAGAAAGAGATGCACACCTGATTTTAGAAAAAAAAAAAAAGAAGAAAAAAAGGGAGGTGTTAAATGAGAACATTGTGATAACTTTTTAAAGTAGTATTGGTATTTCTTAGCTTACTTCCCAGCAACCATCAGGTTTCAAACTAAGAAAAGCTACTTTAACTTCAGAATTCAGTTAAATCTTGTAGCTTTTTAGTCCATGTTTAATTCTAAGTTTAAAAGCCACCATAATCACATTTAAAATATTTTTTTCTATAGTAGCAGTTGATTTTATTTTTTAATTGCATTTCTGTGCACTGCACAGAGATTTTCTCTCTTTTCTTTGAGTGGAGATGAACTAGATGGAAAAACAGAACAATGGCATCCCCAGTGATCTGTTAAATTAAGAATTTCCTCTTTCTCTCCAAATTACCTATTTTCAACTCAAAAGTAACAACTCATCCAATCCCATCTTTTCTCTGCCTTCCTTCACTAGTCATATACTTACTAAAGGTGACTTTATGTCCTTGCCTTTCATAAAACTAAACACTTAATATACAACTTTATTGCACTATCAGATTTTCTTATGCTCTAAAAGAAACTTATAAATACACGTGGAAAGCCCAACAAAAGGCACTGTATGGAAGTACATATTTAGGAAGGCGTATCAATGGGAAGGCAGTCTGCATTTCATATGCATGTTATGCAATGTCTTCCTCCCAGTTTCCCGGAGTGATCTTTAAACAGAAGCTACAGGGACAAAAGGAACGTATCCCACTAGAAACAGTACTGCCAGTCAGTCATGCAGACAAGAACTGCCTTCAGAAAAGCGATTTCAGGCATAGATAAATAGATGGATCAATATGGGAGGGCCAAATCACTTGACCTAACGGAAGAAAAAATTTGGGGGCATGCCCCTTTCCTGAAATGGGGATCCCTATTTTCTGTCATCCAAGGGACAATGACCAACTTCAAAACATTTCTGAAATTAACCATGACAGTGTTGCTCCTTTATAATCTTTCAATGTACTTAACTCATATAAAATGACTCAATCCAAATTTATTTTTATTACTGAATTTTTTTTTTATTCTAAATGGTTTACCAGCTGATTTTGCAGAAAAGGACATGATGACTAAAATACATCGTAAAATATTTACAGTGGGAAATGTAGATGGTCTCTTCTGAAATGGCATTCTGTCTCACTATTGTAATACAATTTGTGGAGAATAACACACAGTATATCCCCAGTTTAACTATGTAAAAAAGAAGGAAAGCAACTCAAACAGCTCTAAGGTACTAAATTTCAGCTGTAATTTAAGTTTTCTAGGATAATTAAGGGTTTTTCTCCCATCTCTCTGCTTTTTCTGGTAATTAGTGGTTGGAAGATACCACTTGGAAATAGTAAAAAAGACAGTGTGGCAGTTCTGTTTTTTGATTGCTCATACAATTCCATTTTAAAATATAAGATAATTTTAGCTATGTGTGCCTATTTTTAAATCAGGTCAAGTATACAGTATGCACTTTATTTTCACGTTGAATACACAGTAATATAATCTATTACCATCCTGTTAGTACATCTTTGTTAAAATAAGGGGATTGTGCAGGTGTTTGTTTAAAGAAAAAACAGTTTAGGCAAAAATGCTCATAACAATGCCTCTGTTCTTATTGCCTGAACATTCAGATGTGTATTAAATACAGAAATCACATGGACTTTTCCATCTCTTTCTTGTGCACTGCATAATGATTACAAGTTAGTATTAAAAACGTCCAGCAAAAGGTTGAACCAGTGCCACTTAGAAATCGGGTATCTTATATACATACTGTTGCTTGATTATTTTTACGTATATACCTATATATATAAAGGAGTCCAAAAAGTAACAGGAAGCAAATTTTAGGAAACCTATTGGTAATTTGTATTTGGAATTTTTTCTTGCCATTTCCTAATTTTACACTTATTTTTGCAAAGCAGTTTCAACAGATTTATACTTAGTCATCATTCTATTTGTATAAAATAATAAATAAAATATTTTGAAACACTAAAAGATAGCTGAAGTTTCCTGTATGTCCACATGCATCCATAAAATTCACTGAGTTACGAAGATGCGTGTTAAGTGTCTTAAGACTTCTTTTGTTACATTTAAACCCATCTTGAATGATGAGTAATTTTGAATATGTGTTAAATTTAAGGAGAAGTTTTTTTCCCTTTTTTCTTATGTATTGTGTAAAAGTATTTGTAGTTCTGATGGATTTATCATTCTGTCTGCATGAGGCAATATTTCTAAGTGTTCTGAGGCAGTGCATGGTGGTTGCTGTTCCTTGTTTTTTAATGCCTTCATTAAAAGTCTGCTCATAATATATCAAGAAGCTAGCGCTGTGTAAGCAAATGAGTTTGTCAGTTCAGCCTTCTTGGTAGATGTTTTCACTGGTAACAAAACTCAACAAATGAGTTTCTCCTTCTCCCCCTCTGCCCTCGCTCCCCCACTTTCCTCGCTGTTAACCAATAGATCTTTATTAAACAAAGGAATATTTTAGCATTCCAAACCTGGTTCCTGCTTATGCAAACCGTTACTCATGTAGGCTTCAACTGGACTGTGAGTATAAGGACTACTCATCTAAGCAATGATGTGCCAAGTTGGGCGCTTTGGAGGCTTGATACTTTAACTTAAATGAAAGCATTTTCATGTAGTGATTTGTAATTGCAAAGCTGTGACCAGAACAAGTTTTTTTTAAAAATCATATTTTATGGTGTTTCTTTATTGTAGAATAGAAGCACTAAATGTATTAATATTGGGTTTTTTTACTTCAGCGTAATTTTCCATCAAGATTTTCAGTGTGTGGTATGTATAAACCGCTGCAGAAAGTGGTCAGCCTGTAATAGCAAAATTTGCATTCAAGGTAAAGTGAGGTTTTACAGCTCCACTAAGCCATTACTGCTGAAACTGTTGTGGAAATTATGAAGCTGCATGAATGAAGACTTTTTGACTCGGTGTTTATGGTAGTTTCTCAGGTTTAGTTTTAATTGGATGTTAAATGCACTGTGTTTTTTAAATAGTTCTTCTCTTTTAGTAACACGTTCAGGTCCATGCAGTGTTACATGTCATTTGGCATTTGGTGAATGTGCATGTTTTGAACTGCAAATTTTAAATGTTTTGTCTTTTAATTGTTAAAAAATGAATAAACTTTGCCATTAAATAAAGAAGCTTTGTTGAACTGATTTGTTGTAAATGGTAGCAATTACTTTCAAAGGAGAACATGTATGTCAGCGCTCTTATTTTAGAATTCTTTAAAATGGGATATATTATATATAGCATTTCACAGATACCAACGAATTCTTATGTTAAGGTAAACTGAAAAATCAGAAAACGGTTTTAAGTTTTTGGTTGGGTTTTTTTTTAAACACCTACTCTGAGATGCCTTTTTCAGTTCTCATGTGAAGTCCAGAAAAAGTTAAAAAAAGAAAGGATGGGGTGAGGACATGAGTCTGCCATTCAGTGATTTTCAGCAGAGCCCTAACATACTGCTATTGAATTCAATTTGCTATTGAATACAGCCTAACATGGAATTACAGCCTCAATGTAATTGTGGATCAAACACTGCTTATGTGATTATTGTGGTGCAGTAGGGTGTGTGTGTGTGTGTGCGCGTCCCAAAAAATAGAAGCTCTGTTCAGAGTAGTTTAAGTCCACACAGCACATTACACCATGCAGAAAAACAGCACTGAAAATTGATTCCATCTCTTTAATGTCATGGTCAAGCTGTAACTGAATAGTAGTGACAAAATAATTTGGACATTTTCACTTTTTTATTGTTATTATTCCAGTGGGATTAGTATTGCAAACAATCCATAGAATCATAGAATAGTTAGAGTTGGAAAGGACCTTAAGATCATCTAGTTCCAACCCCCTGCCATGGGCAGGGACAACTCACACTAAACCATGTCACCCAAAGCTTTGTCCAGCGTGGCCTTGAACACCACACCACCAGGGATGGAGCATTCACAACTTCCCTGGGCAAACCATTCCAATGTCTCACCACCCTTGCAGAAAAGAACTTCCTTCTTATATCCAATCTAGATTTCCCCTGCTTAAGCTTTAACCCATTACCCCTTGTCCTGTCACTACAGTCCCTAATGAAGAGTCCCTCCCCAGCATCCCTATAGGCCCCCTTCAGATACTGGAAGGCTGCTATGAGGTCTCCATGCAGCCTTCTCTTCTCCAGGCTGAGCAGCCCCAACTTTCTCAGCCTGTCTTCATATGGGAGGTGCTCCAGTCCCCTGATCATCCTCATGGGCCCCCTCTGGACTTGTTCCAACAGCTCCATGACCTTTTTATGTTGAGGACACCAGAACTGCACACAATACTCCAGGTGAGGTCTCACAAGAGCAGAGTAGAGGGGCAGGATCACCTCCTTCGACCTGCTGGTCACGCTCCTTTTGATGCAGCCCAGGATCCGCTTGGCTTTCTGGCCTGCGAGCGCACACTGAAGCCGGCTCATGTTCAGTTTCTCATCAACCAACACCCCCACGTCCTTCTCCACAGGGCTGCTCTGAACCTCTTCTCTGCCCAACCTGTAGCTGTGCCTGGGATTGCTCCGACCCAGGTGTAGGACCTTGCACTTGTTATGGTTAAACTTCATGAGGTTGGCATCAGCCCACCTCACAAGCGTGTCCAGGTCCCTCTGGATGGCATTCCTTCCCTCCAGGGTTATCAACCGAACCACACAGCTTGGTGTCATCAGCAAACTTGCTGAGGGCGCACTCAATCCCACTGTCTATGTCAGCAACAAAGATGTTAAACAAGACCGGTCCCAACACCGATCCCTGAGGGATGCCACTCGTTACTGGTCTCCAGCTGGACACTGGGACATTGACCACAACTCTTTGTGTGTGCCATCCAGCCAGTTCTTTATCCACCGAGCGGTCCATCCATCAAATTGATGTCGCTCCAATTTAGAGACAAGGATGTCGTGTGGGACAGTGTCGAACGCTTTGCACAAGTCCAGGTAGATGACATCAACTGCTCTACCCCTGTCCATCAGTTCTGTAGCCCCATCCTAGAAGGCCACCAAATTGGTCAGGCAGGATTTCCCCTTAGTGAAGCCATGCTGGCTGTCACAAAGCACCTTGTTGTTTTTCATGCGCCTTAGCGTGCCTTCCAGGAGAATCTGCTCCAAGATTTTGCCAGGACCAGAGATGAGACTGACTGGTCTGTAATTCCCCCTGGTTTACATAGCCATGTACTGTACCGCTTACCAAGTTACAAATAAAACCTGCAGGACATTCTTGCAAGTACCTGCAATGTTTTTCCTAGAACTGAAGAGTTCTGATCCATTTCGAAGATAACACACTGAAGAAACCCACAGTGTAAAAACACAAACAGCTGATCTAATTCCTGTCACTATTACTCTTTACCCACAGAAGTCTTGAGTTTCATACATGCCATTACCATTTAATGGCAATCAAAGGATTTTGTGCATAATGTGGGCAATTATAATAACCAGTTTAATGGGTGTGATTCTTTTTTCATTTTAATTTATTGTAGATTGGTATCACTCTAGCAAAAAGGGAATAATCTAACTCCAGTACTACAACAGAAACACTTAAACCTACTTTGTTAAAAAATAAACGTCAGTAAATCAAGTACTGTGTAAATGTTACTTCTGATAGCAAGCAACTGCTTTTAGTTCCAGCACATATCTAGCCCTTCAAACTGCTTCTTTAGTCACTAAAACTGTATCAGTGTTCTGTCTGGAAGTTTCACAAAAATTACTATTTCCTATAAATCATAGGAGCACCTAGTACCAACGGGTCCTTTTCACTAGGAAAGACGTTTAGCATTCTTAGCTGAATCCATCTGGGTTGGAAACTACTGGCACAGGCAACGAGCATAGCATTTTTGTTCACAAGCTTGTGGGCCACCTCCTTTCCTCTCCCTTCAGTTACAGAGGTCACTGCCACTGTAGCTACATGAATATGAATATGTACATCTATAATATAGATTCTTCTTAATTTACAGAGTCTTCTATTTGCAAAATCCCCACCCCACTTGCTTCACAGGTAAACCTATACAGCTATTTTAACTATGCCTGATCTTTCCCAGCCTCAGACCCCCATCTGCAGGACTTGTTGCACTCTGGCTATCAACCTGCAAAGTGCTTAGCCCTCTATAATCTTAAGAGACTTGCAGAAGTCTGATTCAATGAAATTGTTCCTGTGTGTCAAGTTCTTCAAGCATTTTATGAGGTCAAGCCCAGTATGCAGCATCAGGGCAGGAAAGGAAGTAGCTCAGAGGGGTCATCCCTGCTATGCTGAGTTTCACACTGCACAGCAAACTTCACAGCCCTGACTTAAGCTGAATGATCATTAAAATCTATAAGACTGTACACAATTGTAGCAAAAATCTGTCCCTGTGTTAAAACACAAATAAATCGCCTGTAGAGCCCACTGAGACCATGACGATGAGGCAGCCTGGCCTGTTCAGCATACACAGCCAAATGTTAACTGGCAGTAACTGCGTCCAGCTCCTGACTTCACTGTACAGCCTGTCTTTGAGGAGAATACAAAATTTCAGCTACCCAGCACCTGTGTCAGTGCCTCGATCACTCATCACTCGTTAATCAAAAAGTACATAAAATTACACCTTCTTAGCTAAAAACGATCAGCAGGTCTCATGGAACACTTCCAGACAACAGCGCTGATATATGTTGCAGTATTAAATTATTTTTGCAGAAGTTACCTGATGAACATATTTGTTACCCATTCAAAATGCGCAGAGTCCTATGAAACATCACCAAAGGTGGGTAAACATTTAACCACCCCCTTCCTTGAAGATTGTTTCCCTAAAAAATTGCAAGAAAAAACACTTACCTTTCAATTAATTTCCCAAATACTTGAAATACACTTTTTTACCAATACTTGAAAATACCCAATACTTGAAATATACTTTTTTGTATACACTTTTCAGATTTTTATAAAACGGGTACACTACTGTGTATCATGATTTTAGGCTGAAATTAACAATTACAGCATTCAAACTAAAGCCTATTGCCTAAAACATTATTGTATACAACTTGTCTTTCTGCTCAGAAATCACATTTCCAGTAGTAGTATCTGTTGAATTGTAAAATCAATTATGCAATATATTAAAATAGTTATTTCAAAATCATTTTTTTCACGATGCTAAGATACTGATTGCTCCATATCTGCTAAGAAAGAGCATTTATTCAACTCTTGAGGAAGATCCGATGAAGCTTTTCTAAAATACAAAGATACTGTAATTCAGGACAGAAGCGCTGTAATTTTAACATGCACCAATACACTGGTACTTGTGAAACAGCTCAGCTATAATGTACTGTAGATCTGCCCACAGGGAGTTTGGGGCTGATAAAATAAGTTCAGCCCGATACTTTAGATTCTGACACACAGAATGACTTTGTTTGTTCACAAAAGTAAGTGTACAGAGAAACCCTTCAATGACTGCATTTTTTCTTGTGTACTTTCCATTTGCTGGCTGCATGTGTTTGGTTTAGATGCGTTTCCATTTGGCTTGTTGGTTTACTTGGGTGAAGGAATGTAGAAGGGCAAACAGAATTTATTCATAGGGCAGGATGTTTTAAATTAAAATACCCAACTAATCAGTGTAGGTTTTACCACATTTTTACTGCAGTTACATATAAGAGACATTAATTACTCTGTTAGTTTACTATACAGTCAGAATTTTATATATTAAATCTGCACAACAGGTGCAATTAAGAATGTAAATCATTTACAAAAGAAAAAATAACTATTTTTAACAGGAAAAAAAACTAGTATAGTTATGACACCTAAGTGAAAATTTGCTCTTCAAGCACTGTACGGAGACATACAGATGACACAGCATTTCAACCACACAGTTTATTGATAATCTTGTGTGTGTGACTACTAAATAATTAGTGTCGTCAATGCTGTAAATACATTATAATTTACAAGTTTGTCTTTACATTTTATACATAGAACTTTATGATCAGTTTCTCCAACTTACACACATTGCTGAGCAAAAAGCCAGCAATAAATACTGCCTTATGAGAAATGCTTTAACACAACACCCACCATTTTTAGGATTTCACGTGGAGAAGTTGTTAGTGATATCGCTGAATACCTTCTGCTTCTCTCAGACAATTATTTGGCTGCTTGGGACTGATTCATTTTCAACTAGCCTAATT